GAAAGAAGCCAAAGAGAAAGGTACCTGGGTTCAACTAAAGCGCCAGCCTCCTCCACCCAGAGAAGCACACTGAGTGAGAGCCAATGGAAAGGAGCCTGAGCTACTGGAACCTATTCCCTATGAATTCATGGCATGATGGGTGTTAAAAATAAACTAATCTGTGGTCTATAAACAACAACAACAAAAAAGACTTGATCAGTTTTGCTTGTAGCTATTGCCATGTAACAAGTGTTTGTGGCCTTGTCTGTTGGTAATGGTGAATGATTCTTGAAAATAAATATTAAAATGTTTTTATACATATCTTATACAAATGTCATGAGTAGTATTCCAAGAAGTGACAAGTTTTGGAGGCAAAATAAATAAGTTTATAATGTGTGATTCTATGTATTGTTAATATCAGAACATCTGAATATCAAATTATTGCCCAATAATGTTCAGTTGGTATTTTCTAGTGTTTCTAGTATTTGCTGTAGGCTTCAGATTTTTGTGAATATTTTAATGGCAGAAATTCAAAGAGAAGAAAATGAGAATACTCCTGTGGAATGCACTGACATAAAGTCAGAAATATATTTAAATCTCAATTGGCAAAAATAATATCTATTTCAATGGCAAAACCAAAATTAGGACAGACAAAATGTTTTTAGTATTGAATAAAGGAAATGAGCTTATAGGAAGCAGCATGTAGCCTAATATCCACCTGAAAGGTTATCTAGACGTTCTCTTAATGGAGACAGATATTCCTGTATCCATTCTTTACCTTAATCTAACCAAATCAATAAGAAAACTGAAATAAGGGCCAGTCATTGGGGTGGTCTAAGTGGCTGGATCCCACATGGCCAACTGCGCAGTTTGAGTCCTGGATCTGGTGGCTTGAAAAACACACCAAGTATGTGTGCACATGTACCCAAAATCCTGAAAGGAGAGAGAAATGGAGGAGGAGGTATTGGAGTGTGATCTTCCCTATGGGGTACTTTCTCTTTTCCTCTCTCTCTCCATCTCTTTTCAGCGAGTGTACATATTTTATGGCAAAATTAAAAAAAAAAAAGAAAAAGAAAATATTTGATATCTAGAAAATTTGGCATGAAACAAATATTCACACTATTGAATATTATACTTGATGTGTAATGTTTTAAATTTATCTTTAAGAATAATGGAGTCTATTAAGTATTTGTGATATTATCTTTTAAGTTTTTGAATGGATTTTATTTATCACTTATTTTTGTATTGATGTTTCCTTTTTATAAATTTTTATTATCAAATATTTCAGGTTGAGATTATTTTTACATATATTATTGAAACATATAATTTTGTCGCATACATTTGTGAAGATTATTGCATTTATTATTATATATGTATTTTACAGCCTACTTCTGAAACTTTGATTTAAGAAATGATTCACAGCTTATTATTATGAGCACACATTATTATTTGAATATGTAAGTCATACAAAATACAGAATAATTTATGATTTAGGCCTAATCTTTAATCCCCAAATCCTGAAGATTAATATCTGTTGTGAACTTGGATACACTAGACGTTTTCCAAATTTATTTACTGACTTTTCTCATGATCCAGAAAAATATATAAAGTTCCCAAGAAATACCAGAAGGGACTCCCACATGAAACATTACCATTTTACTAAGCTCATTACCTGCATTATCTCCTTTAGTCCTTACAGTAACCAACGATCTGTAGGAACTTCGATAGCTCCATAATACAGATGGGGACACTAAAACATAGATGAAGAACAGGTCACAACACACTTCAAGACCCCCTAACTAGCAGGAGCTAGAGCAGATTGAAACCCATACTGACATGCCCTTAGCTGATACACCGTATACTTGGCATCTAGAGGTGAGGTCCTGGAACTAAGGCAAAAGGAGGGACCTGGAAAATATCAGATTGGAAACTTAAATTTGTTTCTAATTCTGAGGAGTATCCTAGCCGAGCTACATAGTTTGTATGGGGTGCAGTGTTGCTGCGAACTAAAATGGAGTGGTCGAGTTTGAGGTCCTCAGAGCTTTCCAAACTAGTAGTTCATACAACTGAACTTGATTCTTTAAAGGAAAGAAGATCAAGATCAGGACCAGGCCAAGTGCAGTGGCCCATTAAGGAATTAGCCTTGTTTGTTTTAGGAAGGAGGGTGCTTTGTGGCTATAGGCAGCCTGGTATTTGCCGAGTGTTGCTCCCATCTCCACTGTGCTTTGTCTGTCAGCAGCCCTGTTTTGCTTCTGGTCAGTCGTCTTTTATCAGTGTGTCTGCTTTATTCCCTGATTACATTCTGAATAAGGGCTATCATGGTATGTCAACCTCATGTAATAATACTTTCTTCTAGCAACTTGCTCATGGACACAGAAGGAAGAACAGTGACTTCACCCTTCAACAAACTTTTTTTTCCATGTGCCAGCAGGCTGCATAGAGTAGTTGTTTAAAACTTCCCAACTTGGCTCTATGGAGGAGCACAGAAAAGGGGCATCTAACGAGAGCTTGACAGAAGACGAGGGAGGAGAAAAACATTTGCTCCAGGCTGGCCCAAGCATCAGAACAAATTCCCTGAAATTACTCTGTCCTCTCCCATCCCATATTTCCTTAGAGAGTTTCTATTTGTTTTCTTTCTCTCTCTCTGTCTTTTTTTTTTTTTTTTTTTTTTTTTTTTTTTTTTTTATGTGGTGTGCGTAAGCGAGAAAACCCCTCAGGGGGGGATGGCCATGCTGCAATCCTTTCTCCTCCATTCTCCTCTCAGGATCTTGGGCACACACACACACGCGCGCCCGGCATGAGTTTAAGCCACTGGGTCCAGGAGTTGAACCGGAATAGACTACATGGGAGTCCAGTGACATAGCCATTACGCCAACTACTGGTCCCATTGTTTTATTTTTCTTTTAAAAAAAAATAGACACGATGTGAGTTCAAACCAGGAGCCATCAAGTTTTTAACTTTGGTATATGCAGTACCATCCAAATGTCCTAATTTATCAAGCACCAGGTTCTAGATATATTCATATAGTATGACTTTAACACTTTAAAAGTTCCCATTGAAACACAAAATCTTTATCTGATACACACACACAATTTTGGGTTACTTTTTCTGTAGGCGTGAGAGACAAGAGAGATGTATCTATAGCACACTCAACAGAGTTTGATGCTATGATCTGCTTCCAGCTGTCAGCCAGCTGCCAAGTGTGTGCCCAGTGTACTCAGGGAGGTCTCTGGACTTGAATTAGGAACCTTCCCGTGTGGGACTGCCTCACAAAACATCCTGTTTTACTGCCATGCCACCATCTGGCCCTTCCTTGGCCTGTGTATTGACGTTAACTTGAGTACCATGATTCAGTCATTCATCAGCGCCCCCTGTTGTGTTGTGTTAGAAGGCAAGTGAGAACCCTTAGCACTACTGATGTGTACGGATCTTTCTGAGAGTTTGCTTAGACGTGTGGGCCAGTCTGGAGCAACTGCTTTCTCGTTTCATTTCTGTTTCGTCGCCCACAATCTCTTTAGATGTCCCTCTTACGCACTTCCTTAGTACTCCGTATTCTCTAACCCTTGCTGGCACTTAGCCTATTTATTGTAATTGCTGCCTGCTTGTCTGATGAAAATAAGGGCCTGGGTTTGTCTAAGTCTCATTAGTTCCATGTAAAAAGTAAGTCAGCTCAGGCCGGGACTACTTGCTAGTGTTGCTCCAAGCGTACTTGGACTTTGTACTAGAATATATATATATATATTTAAAGTTATGCCATTTAGAAGTTTTAACACTTATTCTTAAATTTACAGCTAGTTTTAATACATTATTCTTCCTGCCTAAGGGAGTCAGTAAAGCCTAGAACTTAGAGGCAACATAGCTCTCCATCCAATTTCAGTTCCTAACGGCCAGTTATATAATCTTAATACCCATCTAAAACTTCAATCTGCTTATCTGTTCAATGGAATTAAAAATGAAAGCACTTTAAAGGGTTGTTGTAAAGATTGAGACAGTATGTATACTAGTTTACCTAGTGTTTGGACTATATTAATAACTAACTTTGATTTTTATTATTACTGTAAGTCATGTGCATCTTACAGGAAAACATAATCACACTAAGCTAATGTTGATGAATAAATAAAATGTGAATGATTGAGGAATTTCTTGATAGTACCAGTGCATCGACTTTGCGAATGTGCTGCTCTGGCCTCCTGATAGGGGAAATGTAATTGACTGACAGCCCCTTCTCCTTCCTCTCTGGAACCATCACTGCTTTGCACCAAGGCCAGGCTTTACCTGGGCTGCTCTCAGCCCGTGAGGGACACAGTGGGGTTCCTACTCCAAGCCTGGTCCTGCAAGGCATGGGACTCACCGAACGGAAGACTTTGACTCAAGGGCTCCTTCTTCCCCCTCCTCTTCACAGAGGTCAGACCTGCATCCAGTCTGAGGCTCTCCGTGCCTTCTCCAGCTTTCCCTTCATTTCCATGACTGGTATTTCCTCCAGCACATCGTGCTTGTCTTGGTGTCTCCTTGGAGGATCTAGCTAACATGAGCAATTGTAATGGTTGTTGGGAGGGAGAAACCATCTGCACTCAGGGTGCGAGTTGGTGTCTTCTCCATTGCACATACAGAGAATGTTATGCTAATGAGGTTAGCTTAGTCTTTGTGTACTGTGTTTTCTCAGAATTAAAATTTGGTATTACTGATCATAAATTCTCTAGGATAAGCATTAGCCATTTCCTCAGGGAAGGCTACTAACATTTAGGACTTAACATGCTAATCTGCAGATTAAATTTTAAAATTGTCCTCATTTCAGACAGTTCTCTATATTCTAGCTCTTTAAAGTGATACCATATTTTTGTCTTTTAATATTTTTAACATTCCTAAACCAAAAGTTTCTCCTTCTTCAAAAAAAAAAAAAGAAAGAAAGAAAGAAAAAAGGATATTATTGGTAGAGCTTCACTGTTAGCTGTTTTTATTATTTTCTACTGATTTTCTTATTCTTTTTTGTGAAATTGACTTGACGGTTATTTTTGTGACAGACCAGGTTCAGGGAACTGTCACCATCCGGAACGTCAGTGCTTTGTCTTCAGGTTTGTACCAGTGTGTGGCTTCTAACGCCATTGGAACCAGCACTTGTCTTTTGGATCTGCAGGTTATTTCACGTAAGTTTATAAAATTCTGATGTGTCAGATCTGGGTCTGAAATTCTAAGATCTGTGCTATACCAGGAAATGAAGGGTTCTGATGAATTATTCTGAGGCTGTCTGAATATTAAATAGAAATGCTTTTGTTTTTAATCATTACTGAAAATGTTTGAGTATAAATTTCATCCTCCACACTATGATCATCTTTATGACAAAGTGTCTTTCTCCTCAGGATCATTAGAATCAAGTTAGTTCTTATTTATGTACGCTATAGATACTATACAAGTTCCTAATATTCTTTTGACTATAGCAAGATCTTTTCCCCCCTCAATTTTTTGTATTTGTTTAATTGTTGGATATCTAGGTTATAAATACACAGTGTAGAAAATTCTCTCTAGTTGAGAATTCTGGGTTATTTGAACTCCAGTCGCGAGAGTGATCTGTCTGGGACGAGGTGATGGGGCATAGCAGTGATTGCCAGGGTCCCTCGGAAAGGGCACAGGTGAGTGAGACAGGTGCCATCTATTTCTGGCAGAGGTCTAGGTGTTGCTCTGTGACAGCTATGCAAGTTTGATGATTTACTCATTTAGTGAACGTGGAGAGCTCCTGTTAGTCCCAGCCACTGGGAATATACAGCAGGTTACGAGGGTTTTGTTTTTTTGTGGGTACAATACTTTATACAGTTTTATGCATTTTAAGCAGATTCTTTGGTTAACTTCAGTGTTTACTGAACCTAGGTATGTGGTTGCATGGATATATGCTATTTCTCTCGTTTTTCTTTAAATATACCTTAAATATATTTTTCAGCCCAGCCGAGGAACACTGGACTAATAGCTGGAGCCATTGGTACTGGTGCAGTTATTGTCATTCTTTGCATTGCACTAATTTTAGGGGTATTCTTTTATTGGAGAAACAAAAATAAAGAGGAGGAAGAAGAAGAAATTCCCAATGAAATAAGGTTTGTGTGTCAGATCACTTGTCTTGTATAGCCAATGTGTATTTCTGTTTATTTTGGCAGTGAAGATTTCTTTGCTAAGCTTATAATCTGATGTTCAAGGTAATTAAAGTGGCCAGATTTTATATGTGTGTATGTGTGTGTGTATGTATGTTTTGGTATGGTATATCACTTTTCCTTGTGAGACTACTCAGCTTTATTCACTTGATCCTGAAGGGGGTAAAGGTCCAGTATGTGTCCAAATAGGAGGAGACAAATGAAGAGTTTCCCTGCTTCCACATCTCTGAGGTAGGAGGGCTTAGGTAGATGCCACAATAGAAACGTTTAAAACATGTGTTCAATGTTGGCATTTACAGTAAATGAGAACACAAAGCAAGATGGAGCACCTTAAGAGAATGCCAGTTTCTGTACATACATAGGCCAAGACGTCTTGGTGTGAAAGACACCTTAAATGAGCATGGGAACATTGTAGAAAACAATGACAAAATGATTATTTAAAGAAAAAAAAAAAGAGTGAATCTTGGCATAATGCAGGGATTTGAGAGTTGAGGCTCAGTCTCAGATTTGATCACATCATATCCTTGCTGAACGTGCTTTAATGCCTCTGGTGTCCTTAGCATGACATCCACAGCCTTTCACAGCTGTAACCCTCACCCGCTTCCCTGCTCTTTTCTCTCCCGGTTACCCTGCTCACTCTGTTCTCCAGTCTGTTCTAAATTTCTCCATGCCTCAGGGCCTTTGGTCAGGCCTCTGTTCTCTTCTTGGATCATGTATGGGCCTTCCTCTCTCTTCTACCTCATCACTAACTGCTCAATCTGATTCAAGACTTGTCTAGGCCTCACTCCTCACCCACGTTGTCTCTAGCCACTTGCCCAACCTAACACATGTTCTTGCATTGATTGCCATCCCCATTTGACTACAGGCTTCTTGTATCGTTTTTGTATCTACTAGAAATGTCTAGAAGAATGTACTCAATAAATGTTAAATTAGTTCACAAATTAATTTCTTTTCTCAGCCTCTTGAAATTCATAAAGGTAGGACTGTATGTAGGGGTAGATTCCATTCCAGCATAAGATTACTGAAGAAAATTTCTCATAGTACATGACTGTTGTTTTTCAAGTCCTAAATAGTGATACAATCAGGCCAACATAAATAATTTCTTAAAGTTCTCCACACCTATTGTTTGGATTACTGTTTTTACACAGACACACATACACACACACACACACACACACACACACACACACATATTTTCATTATATTAGAAGAGACATTCTTGGAGAAATTTGATATTTCCTTTTTTATTATTTTAATGATTTGTTTTTTAATTAATTATCTTCATTCACTGAGCATTGTCACAGCATACAAAATGTGATTTCCCATCCAGAATATACTGCATAGTGGCTTAATCATACATGTTATCATCAATAATTTTGCATTTCTAGTTTCATATATATATTTCCCCCCCCCTATTTCTCACGCTATGCCATTTCTCACCCTCTCCCCACACAGTGGGAGGTGTCCACAGTTGTTTTCCATTCCTTTTTTTCCTCTGATATTTCCTTTTCGACTCTTTGGAGACTTAAAAGCTGAGGAGAGATTTTCCTGACCATTGTCTTAAATGGAATGGGTGCCAAAGCTGAGGCCACCAGGGCCATCATGTTTGCTTTTAATGATAGAATGATCACTCTTGAGTTGTGTTTTAGACATATCAGCCTGAATAGGGGGTGATATAAAAAGAGTTCTGAGAAGGCGGGTAGGATGAACCCTAAAGTAAACCCTAATGACAACTGTATTTCTGTTTCTTTTCAGAGAGGATGATCTTCCACCTAAATGTTCTTCGGCCAAAGCATTTCACACTGAGATATCCTCTTCAGAGAACAACACGTTGACCTCTTCCAATACCTGTAACAGTCGATACTGGAGCACCAATCCGAAAGTTCATAGAAACACGGAGTCATTCAACCACTTCGGTGACTTGCGCCAGTCTTTCTCTCTCCGCTCAGGCAATGCCAATATACCATCAATTTATGCTAATGGGAATCACCTGGTCCCAGGTCCACATAAGACTCTGGTAGTGACAGCCAACAGAGGGTCATCACCGCCAGTCATGCCCAGGAGCAACGGC